AGTACAAACTGGATGTTGTGAGTACTGGAAAAAATTTTACGAAGATAAGGAAGGCAATAGCTGCAGGTTTCTTTTTCCATGCTGCTAGGAAGGATCCACAAGAAGGGTATAGAACCCTGGTTGAGAACCAGCCCGTATATATACATCCTAGTAGTGCTCTATTCCAAAGGCAGCCAGATTGGGTTATTTATCATGAGCTTGTGATGACAACAAAGGAATATATGCGTGAGGCCACAGTGATTGATCCCAAGTGGCTTGTAGAGCTGGCACCGCGATTTTTCAAAGTGGCTGACCCAACTAAATTAAGCAAACGCAAGAGACAGGAGCGCATTGAACCTCTTTATGACAGATATAACGAGCCTAATTCTTGGCGGTTGAGTAAAAGGCGTGCTTGATATGGGCTTCAACAATGCATTTACTATTTCGGAGGATTTTGTCATAATATCATGTTTTCACACTGTGCTCAATGTATGTCATTTTCTGTCAATTTTGCCAATTTCTGTGTAAAGTACACTGACTTTTCCTATTTTCTATTAAATAAAGCTTTTATTCAAAAATTTATATATATTTTTTCATTAATTGTGATTATGCAATTGGATGTTTTGTGTTTTTCTTTTCTTGTTATCTAATTATGCAAGTTACTTAAGGTGCATAAAGACCTTTTCCCTGCATTGGCAATTAAAATGTTTTAGGTGCAAATTAGTTGATTTTTTTAGAAATTGTTTCTGAACCACAGATTGTCAAATTCTAGATACCAATAGCCAGTACAAATGCTTTCATTTGTTTGCATGATTAGCTATGTGTTTTTGACATAACAATCATTATGCGACTATAGATAGTCTTTTCCTTTCTATGAGTCTGGCATTTTCTCTTCTGCTATGCTTCCAGTAGCCACATGCTCATGTTATTTTATTGCTTTCTGCCGTGTTGCACCCTCTCCTTTTTAGCTTCTTCACTTTTATACTGCAGAAATTGTGATGAGTCAACACTTGTTGGTCTTTTCTCTGATAGACTACTGGGTTGATCCTGTCCAAGTTTATGCTAAGGAGGAAGATCCGACCAGTCGTTTATGAAGGCTTGCTTGCACCTTATTTGTTTCAAGTGTGGCGTATATGGCCATATGCCGAGGGAAGTTCGCAGAATCAAAACGAAGACACCACCCAGGAACAGAGCATGAATCAAGATAGCGAAGGTCGGCCGGCGGTGACCACCGGTATAAATGTATTATTTTGGAGGATAGGTTGATATATATATATATATATATATATTATTTTGGAGGATATTAAGGTAGTCCATTTCATAGTGTTTTTCTGTACTTCATTCGCTCCGTGCTTTTCTGATTTCGTTTTCCATTTGTATGTTTCAACATGCAATTGTTGGTTAGCCTACCTACTGAGAGAAGGCCCTGAGGATATACTTCTGTTGATTACATTTGCTATGTATTCGCATAAAACATCGTGGCATTACAGGAGAGTGTCAGTTCACAGCATATAATCACCCATTACCTCTAGAAAACACAAAAAAGACCTTGTTTCTCTCTTACGCAGATGCTCTCAAAGCGCAACTTATATGGTGGTTAAGAATGCCCTGTCAAAATTAGTTGAGCAAGAAATCTATAATTCCTAATGCAAAATGTGGATTCTTTTGCCTCAAGGCTTTTCATTCCCTTGCCTTGCTTCCTTTCTTTAAATGATTGTTTGGCGGGTTGTGTTACTTGACAGATAGAAGTGTGGCAGCTATTCATGCCACAACATTCAGTTGCTTACAGAGGAGGCATGAGGCAGGAGAGAAGCTTTATGATCCCTCCACAAACACAGTTTCTGTTATTAATGAGGAATACCGGAATTACCGTGCTACTTATTCCTTGAGCTCTAAGGGTATGTTTCAAATGCTTCAAAGAAATGATTCTTCTAGGCATTTGGTCATTCTCTTTTCCATTTTTGGGAACATTTAAGGTGATGGGAAAGATGGTATTCAGACCTAGGCAAAATACCTAAGATGGCTTAGCCTAGCACTAGGCTAAACCAAGAACGCCTTCAATGTGTTAATTCAATATCAGATGCTTTGGAGTTCTTTATTGTTGAGTTGGCAAGTAGCCCTGCATAAGTAGATTTATTTATTTATTCATTTATAATCCCATGACAATCTCAGTTCCACTAACAAGAATGTAGTGGTGAACCATGGATACCTTGATTACCTTCTACTTCTATATGGAATGATACATATGAGCAAGCATTCTGTGGTTGTGGCACCAATTATATTATTTGATATATCACCAGTTTGATTCTTCACTTTTTTGGATAGCAGTTTTCAAGATTTTGATTTTACTGAATTGAGCTGTTATTACTATTGTTCTTGTGGGTGCTCATTTTATTTTATTTTCCTTCAGCTGGAAGGGTCAGTGGACGAGGAGTATGATGATCTTGCTATGCAGGATAGTCAACAGAGTGGTTACTGTTCTGATGATGATGAAGAATCCATGAATAAGTTTGAGTTGACTAATAAGGTTGTACCGGTGTCAGGGGACTTGATATCTGAGGAAGCTATCAACTTTGATGAAATCTACCAACAAAAGCTTGGTCTGTTCTTCAGAAGTGACGGTGACGCAGGTTTGGGACCATCACAGCTCTGCTATTCTTCTTTCCTGGGCAATAGCAGAAGCATAAGGCATTCTCAGAGCATGCGAAACGTTTGAGACTGTTGCAAAGGTCTTCTGAGTTTTCCCCTTCAGTATTTTCCTTTTACTCCTTTTAAATATGCTGTTCATTTTATGTTTTATCTTTAGTTTTTGCCTATTGTTCCCCTTCATTTTATGTTCAGTAATTCCGTATTTTGCCCACTTTATTCAAATAAAACTGGGAAATAAATAAAGGAAAAAGCATTATTAATTCGTGTGTTTTTGGACGCCTTGGATTGAGGTGGCGTTATCTGTCAGGTAGGAAAACACCATTTTTGTAATTTTTGTTTTTCTTCACTTTACCCCCGCCCGTGTTTTCGTGTTGTTTGTAAAGGTGGCAACTTGCCTGCTTTCTGCTTGTTTTGCTCCTCTGATCTTTTACCCCCTTGAAGATACATTGCTGGTTTTTCTGTTTATTTATCAAAGAGTTTCATTGGATACGTAATTTACTGATTCGGTTTTAGTTTAATCACTTTTGTTTTTTTGCTGGATTTAACTTAATTCTTCTCTGGTTTGCTGCACTTTTTGAGGACCATAATTGACTGTGCTTCTTTAATTTCTTCTGCATTGATTTTAAGTCCGGGATACCGTGGCTGCTGTTGATTTGTGATTGAAGAGCCATGGCTTAACTAAATTAGGTTTTTTTTTTTTTTTTTTTTTTTTTTTTTTTTTTTTTTTTTTTTTTTTTTTTTTTTTTTTTTTCTCTCTCCTGCATTCCTAGTTTTCTTGCATCCAAAGATGTGTTCTTTCTGTGTTTGAATTTGCAGGCGAAAAAATGTATATACATGATGAAATTATGTATGCTATCTCTACAAGAATATATAGCATTGTTTTGTTGAAATTAACTCGGTACTTTTTAATGTTTGAATTTTGGTAAGTAAAAATTAGAGGTGGTAAGATCGTTTACTAAATGTCTCTTGATTTCTTAAGCTTGGCGATTGACATATAACTAAGTACTAATGAACGGCTGTGATGTTGTTGGTTATTGTGAACTTCACTTACTATCTGTTAGAAATTTAACCGAATGCAAGGATTGATAACAGATGGCGTAAGAAACTTTTGGGTAAGAAAGTAGTGTCCTGATTTCTTGCCATATTATGTTGCTTTTGCAACGCATACGTTATTGTAATATCTTCCTAATTTAGAAAAGAAAAGCTAGCATAACATCATAGCATGACCATCACGGGGTTTATGTGGCCTCGATAGGCACTTGTCTTTTGAGATTGTAGGTGTAGAAACGTGTCCTCTTAATATTTTGCGTGGAAGATTGATGACGTGCCTTAGTGGTTCACTTACTTCTATAAGTTGTTTTCTCCTTCGAATGATATTCTATGCCTCAGGGATGAAAATAACTTGTTGAGGAGCTTGTGGAAGATGAAGTTGTAAGACGATCGGTCCCAGTGTGTTGATTCTTGAATCATCAATTCTCGGTAAGGTGATTGATTCTGTTACATTCAACATTTTGTTTGTCTGAAGTTTCTTCACTCTTATGGGTAGCTCAGGTATGCTAGTGTTTTTTTATGAGGTGAAAAATAGCATCTTTTTACCAGGTAGGTAGTAACCTATGCCCATTTCGTTATATCCAATTCTGTTGCTTTGCGTTTTGTTCCAAATGCGAGTTTCAGAGTTAGTGCAGGACTGAAATGTTGTGTGCAGACAGATCTTTCTGTGGATTGTGCATTTGGGTTGGATATGCTTCAGATTGATTCTTAATTTTGATTTTTGCATTTTATAAATGTATTTCTTGATTATGCTATTCTATCTCTGGATATGGACGGGTTCTCTGTATTCTTAGTCCAGGCTCCAGCACAATCATTCATCACATTGGTTAAAATTGCTTTTATACCCGACTAGTTGGTCAGGTTATGTGGAATAAAATGTGACAAATCGTTTTAAATAGTAATATGTGTGGTTGATTCTTGGTTAATGTATTCTGGCTTGGATCAGAGGAAAGCCTTCCCGGTGGAGATACCTTGTCAAGTTTGGTTGGCGAAAAGTGATTTTGATTAGTGATTCATAAATCAACAACTTGAGGGGAAAAAAAGTGATCTTTGAGTGCTTTATTCATGTAAATGTCATCGTTTTACAATCATTCTGGATAATCTGTGTCGTCCTTTCTAAACTAGCTTTTTATAACTTGAATATGTTTCTTTAAGCTATTCTGAATGCTCTGAAGAAGGATAACGTTATTCATTTTCAGGCTATTCCATTCTGACAACTTTTCATCGTTGGCTAGTCTTTCTACTGTTCTTCAGAATGAATCCTCAATTTGGCGAAGCAAGCAGAAAGCGCCGGGTGAGTTAGGTGACTGCTGCAGGGTGAAGCAACTGCTGCGGGATTTGAAGCTCCGATATCACCTGATTTGAGTTACAACAATGCATACCCTGCCTATGAAGACGAAGGGCGAGAACCACCTCTACTTCCCCCACAACTCCACATGGCGGTGCTAAACCACCACCAAACGAACAGAGATGAATCTGCAACCACCCTCCCGTCGCCAGGGCACGTGACTGTGAATCATCTCTACACCGATACCTATAGCAGAGAAGCAGCAGCAGAAGTGGTGGCGCTGTCAACTACACAGCGGTTTCACTCAAAATACGTGACGGTCGTGCTTTACAAGCCATCGCCGAGGCGGGGCAGTGGCTGAGATGTTTGGTGTAAATGCAGCAGCAGTAAATATACAGAAACTTGGTGAAAAGTGTTGGGTTTATTTCTCAGAACTTGTGCTTTCTGTTGGATCCGGTGATGTGCATATACCTTTTCTTTTTTTTTTTTTTTTTGGCTTTGCTTGAAAAAAGTGAGATTTTATATTTCAAGGAAAAAAAAGTATATTGTACGTTGTACAATCATAGCCAGCACAACTATGAAAATTGTAATGGTGTTGGAAATGTATTTTGTACTTGATAAAATTATATTTCTTTCATATTTATGATTGTCAAAATGTATGATACAATTCTTTTCAAACATGTAGCACAATAAAATTTTCAAAAATTATGTCTCAAACTACTTTTGTAGGCTCACACAAGTTAGAGCATCCCCAATAGAAAATTTTTTGAGAGATTTTGTGGAGTAGATGAGAGAGATGATAGGAGAGAAAAGAGCGAGGTTGCTTTGCAAAGTGAATTATTATTATTATTTTTATAGATCTTATTATCCTTTTGTAATCGTTTTAATTGTATTTAGGTGCTATTCTTCATAGTATCAGCCGAAAAAAAAAATTCTTAAAAAAGTGATCGAGTAGAACAAGAGATGTCAATATATTTTCGACCGAAAATCTGTCACACATGATCTTATCTGTACAATTAGCTTATCCTATGTGATTTGTAAGGGTTTTTTTTTTTTTTTTTTTTTTTTTTTTTGTATATATATATATATATATATATATATATATATATATATATTGTATTTTGTTTTGTTTTGTTTTGTTTTTTTTTTTTTGTTTTTGTTTTTTGTTTTTTTTTTGTTTTTTGTTTTTTGTTTTTTGTTTTTTGTTTTTTTTTTTGAATTGAAACAAAGCACAAATCAATTCTCATTATCAGCTTGTAAAGCATCTATCACAAACAAAGACGGAATAAAAAACCAATAACGACAATCAGACAAAGAACCAGCCTCCCTAGCAATTAAGTGGGCAGCTCGGTTAGTTGACCGTTTAACATAATAGAAACACAGCTCATCAATGGTGGCTGCTATTTCTTTTACATCATCTAAAATCAAATCAAATCAAAAGTCGATTCCCTCGGAGTCCCATGCAACGCATATAAGACCTCCTGTGCATCCATCTAAACATCCACTTTGGTTTCCCTCATCGCCTTCAACCAACTCAGTGCTTCCCAGACCCCCACCGCCTCCACCTCACGTGTTACCAACTCCAGTACTGCCATTGCCGGTGGTGTACGACGCATCAACGTTCATTTTCGACCGTCCTTTCCCCGGACGACACCATTTTTGTGGACCAGAGCTCCCACCCTTTCACCCTCTGCCTCCAACCCATTAGCTTGCCACCACCCTTGCCAAACTGCCAGTGCCTTCAACACAATTCCGTCCACTGTCGCCACCCCTCCTCTCCATACAACATCATTCCTAGTTTGCCATAAACTCCAGCATATCATGATCAAATAACATTGCAGATCGTCCCTCAACGTTCTCAGCAATCTGTCTGATCCCCCTGCTCAAAAATTGTTCCTCCGTGATCATAGCAACCCCCACCTTCTGCCAACATAGTTTCGCTACCCTACATTGGAAGAGAATATACAGTGCGGTTTCATCATCTTCCTGGCATAGACGGCACTCCTGTGCACATAGCAGTCTTCGACTCTGGAGCACATCCGCCGTGGGCAAGCATTGCGTGCAAACTTGCCACCAGAATGTGTTCACTTTTGGTGGCAATCGCAAATTCCACATCCCCGTCCAGCCGCACCATCCGTCCATTCTCGCTTCTCCCGTAAGTAGCTGGTAACAACTCTTCACCGTGAGCCGACCTCTTTTATCACCTGCCCAATAAAGGGTATCCACACACACTCTACGACTCAGCAGAATGCGTAGAACCAGTTCAGCATCCCTTTCCCTTAGGATATCGCGCACCACCTCCGTATCCCACTCCCTTCGGTCAACACACATTAATGCTTTTACCTTCGTATTCGCTAATTCATCTGGCATCTCAGATTCCACCTTCCTGTTCCACACTTCAAGCAACCATGCATCTCCCCATACCTTTACAGTTTCCCCGTCGCCCACCCTCCAATAGCATCAATTCAAGATTTCCCGAGTCTACCAAATATTCTTCCATACGATTGATGGATTATACCCTAGCTTAGCATCGAGAAATGACACTTTAGGATAGTATCGCGCTTTCAACACCCTCGCCACTAGCGAATCCGGGAACTTCACCAATCGCCAAGCTTGTTTAATAAGCATGGCAAAGTTAAACTCGTGAATTCTCCTAAACCCCATGCCTCCTATTTTCTTCGGGACGCACAACTTCTCCCACCGCATCCACCGTATCCCTCCACCAGTCCAACTACTACCCCTCCACCAAAACCCGTTGAGAATTCCCTCCAACTCACGGCACAACTCTTGCGGTAATAAAAAGACGGCCATGGTGTACATTGGTAATGCCTGAAAGACCGTCTTTATCATAACCTCTTTACTAGCTCTCGACAAGAACCTATTATTCCAATTGTTAATGCGTGCCACGATCATCTCTCGTACAAAACCCAACACTTCTCACTTCCTCCTCCCTATCAACGATGGTAACCCAAGTAATGCCCAACCCTCTCACCCTCCTATACTCCCATAATCTCACTCACAATAACTCTGTCCTCCCGATTGACATTGTCGCTGAAATACAACGAGGACTTATCCAAATTTACCTCTTGGCTCGAAGCGTCTGCGTACTCCCGCAAAATTGCGGCAATCACGTCAACTTCAAACACATTTGCCCTAAAAAACACAAAACAATCATTAGCAAACAATAAGTGTGCCACCCTCGGTGCCCCCCGTGCTACCGCCACCCCATGCACGGTGCCACCTTCTTCCTGTCTCTGAATTGCCGCAGTTAGACCCTCCGCCACCAATATAAATAGATATGGTGAAAACGGATCGCCCTAGCGCAACCCCCGACTTGGACGAATCGGTCCAATTCCTTCCCCCCCCCCTCCCCCCCCCCCCTCCCCACGAGCACATTATATTCGACCGTCTGAACACAATACATGACTAGCGCCACCCACCTTTCACTAAATCCCATATGCACCATAGTCTGTTCTAAAAAACCTCATTCCACTCTATCGTACGCCTTGCTCATATCGAGCTTAAGCGCAACGAATCCCTCTCCCCCTTGCCTCTTCTTTTTCATGAAATGATGTGTTTTAAACACCATCAGTACATTATCCGTGATCATCCGACCTGGGACAAATGCACTCTGACTTGACGAGATTAACCCATGCAACAAAGGCTTTAACCGATTGGCCAACACCTTTGATATAATTTTAAACAAAGATATTGGTCGCAAATCCCTCATGGTCTCCGACTTCTCTTTCTTAGGGATTAGTGCGATATTGGTTTGGTTGATCCCTTTAGGTAATTCACCCGTCTCCATAAACCTAGCTTCTGCACAACACGACTACATCCCCTCCCACAATGTGCCAATAATTTTGATAAAACCCTGGGCTCATCCTGTCGAGCCTCGGGGACTTATTCGGATGCATGTTTTCCATCGCCACCCAGACTTCCTCCGCTGCCACCGAACGAGTCAGTAGAGTGTTCTGCAACTCAGTGACATGCCCTGTGACACAATCCAAAATAGGCCGCATATCACCCTGACAGGATGTAAACAACCGTTCAAAATAGTCCACCATGTGCGTCCCTAACTCCGGCGTCCCTGTTATCCAGTTCCCATCATCATTTCGTAACTTAGTGACCTGATTACACCTCTTACGCCCCTTGACAGAGTTATGGAGGAACTTAGTGTTCATATCCCTGCATTTATACCAGAATTCTTTGGCCCGCTGCTTCCAAAATGCACTCTGTTGATCAAGGATACAAAGATATTCCTTCTGCACCTCTCCTAACTCCCATTGTCGTCGCATGTCCCAACATGACCGCAACATCTCCATCCCTCGCCTACACTGATCAAGTCTCTTCCCAAAATCCCGCACTCTCCCTTTGCCCCACTGCATTAATTCCCTCCCACACTTCACAATCTTGCTTAAAATCCGAACAACGCTATCCCAACTTCTCCCCACTACCTCCCTACACTTAGTCTCTTGAATCCAAACGTTCTCGAATTTAAAACCTCCCCTACCCCATCGTCTGGCCATCTGAACCGGAGACACGAGCAATGGAAGGTGATCACTTGCAGGACCTTCCAGTGAACGTACTCTTGCACCCCTGTAAAGTTCTTGCCAAGCTTCACTAACCAAGATCCTATCGAGCTTTTCCTCTGCCCAAGCCAACAACCCCCGTCCTCTTTCCCATGTAAATTGATATCCATTGAATTCTAACTCCTCCAAATCGCAGTCATACACCGCCTCTCTAAATCCCCTCAACAGCCAAGGTGGATGAGGATCCCTTCCCCTCTTCTCCTCCGCCCTCATAAGATCGTTAAAATCACCCATAATAGCCCAAGGCATAGAATAAAGATTAGAAAGATACCTCAGTAGTGCCCACGACCCGTCGTTGGCTGCATTATGAGTGACCATAGTACCCCGTGAACGGCCACCCACTGCATTCTCCGCCTATACGAACCTTCGTATCTATATAATAATGCCTTGAGTATCCCAGAACCTCCACCTCCAAATTGTCCTTCCAGAACACCGCTAACGCTCCACTACTCCCTTCACTTCCCATGCCTAGACATCCTACACATCCCAGTTGCTTCTTAATACTTTCCAGTCTATGTACATCGCAAAGTGTCTCGCTAAGAAACACGAGTTGTGGCCTCTTATTATGTTGGACTATATCCAATAGAACATGAATTGTCGCTAGGTTGCCAAGCCCCCAACAATTCCAGGCTAAGAAACTCATTGGCTCATTGCTCCTGGCGGGCCTGCATAGCAGCACCCGCCAAAGACCTTTTTTTGGATTTCTACCTTCAACACTAACCATACCAACCACCTGATCAACACCACAACCCACATCCTCCACCCTACGACATTTTTGTTCCACTATGGTCACCTCGCTATCATCCTCCCCATCCGGACTGCCTAACGTTTCCACGACATGCACACGACCTTCAATTGAGTTTATCATGTACACGTCTCCCTCACTTACAGAATTCTGCGTAACTGCCATCACCCTTCCCACGCATCGCCGAATCCTCCACCAACCAGCGCTGCCCCATCAACACCATCGATCGCCAGCCAA